ACAAAGCTCCATCTATTGGTGGGGAGCAACACCTGCTGGAAACCGGGTCCAGCGTCCCATAGATACAACCTTATCCTCACAAATTGGCACGAGCTGGGAACCGGGCCCAGCGTCCCAAACCAAGTACCTTCAGGAACCTCACCAAGAAATTTCATGGAAATAAGACCAGCAAAAACCCTCGAAAATTCTACTACTGATGATACTAATGATACCAGTGATGATAACAAAGGAATCTAGCTAGCTACTCGTGCTGAATCCTAATCCTGAGCAACTCCAAGCCTTCCCTTACCAGGATATTGCAACTCTGGACCAAGACAAACCTATCCCCCCGCTGCCATAGCTGATCTCTTCTCACTACCCAGGCTAACCCCGCCCCATGAGTTGTCGAGGTAGCCCCACCTAGTTCACCACACCGGCAATCCAGGAGCACAGAACAAAGCAACTTCAGCAGTCATCAGTCTAGGTTCGACAATCCCTGAATTCCTGTATCCTAAATAAAGAAGAAGACCAGGTGCTGCCAAGATTGTAAGGCCATGGATGGCATCGAATTTATTAGATCGTGAAGAAGATACGATTCCATTGGTGACAGCTCAACCAATCCACGCCCACTGTACCCTGTCTCCACCGAGGAAAATCCCTCGGCCTCAACAGATCCCCTCCCCTCCCTCCACCTCATCCGCGAAGGCAACCAATCCCCTCCTAGAGGCTGCCTTTGCCCACCCCTTGTCCCTGTCTGCCCCCGCTGGGGTTGAAGGCGACCAACTCTCCAACCCCGGCCCCAGACTCAGACAATCCCCGATCTGCCCTACTCCCAATAGGGCTATTGCCTCCCACCATGCAACACCCTTGTAGAATAAGGCTCCCCTGTAACAGACCCCAGGGTTTCTTTTTCGGGGACAGCTAACTAGTAGTCTATACCCACAACTGGCCAGCCCTATCTCTCCTTCCCCTAGCTTCCCCAAAGCCAGGCGGAGCCCAGGCTGACAGTCCTACCTCCCTTCCCCCGGCTTGTCCCCTAACTTAGTCCAGGCGGTTCTCAGACCTGCTGTGGGTAACTACCGTATATCTGTACCCTGGGGTCTCAAAATCCCCCCTGCCTACCAAAGTTCCAGCCATAACCCCCGAAATCCTATCCCCCCTAAAACGTCTGCAAAATTCAATGTTCGAAATCCCCACTCAGGAACAAGAAAATCGTGAAAAAACAGAAAAAACAGAATAAAGAAAATTCGCCTCACCCCACTCGGGGGGACAGGCAGAGCAAAACCTTCTAGTGAAATTACTGAGCAATCCCAACCTGAACATATTTGTCTGATGTCACTACTGCGAATAGTAGTAATCAAGAGGTATGTAATCAAGAAGCAGGTAATCGAGATATAGGTGATCAAGATATGGGTGATCTAGATATAGGTAATCAAGGTCATCAGATGTAATTATTAATGGCTATTAGATAATTGGGTAACCAAAAACGGTACCCTGAGACCGAAGAGTTTTCAGATGATATTAGTATTGATGATGGTAGTGATGATGACGGAAGTATTATCGAGAAGTAAGTAATCGAGATCTAGGTAATCAAGATATAGGTGATCTAGATACGAGTAACCAAGATGTAGCTAATCGGGATGTACGTGAAGCCGAAAACGGCACCCTGAGCCTAAACGATTTTCAAATGATTGATGATGATGATGATGATGATGGTGATGGTGATGATACTGATTTCGAAGATGATGATGATGATGATGATGATGGTGGTGATGATGATGATGATGATGGTGATGACAACGACGACGCCCAGCGCCCTGCGATCACGAAAGGATGATGGTGATGATAACTCACCTCCTGTTGATGACGTTGGTGCTGCTGCTGGTGATGATGATGACGAGCAGCACCCTACTGATGATAATCCGGACAACCCTTGATGATGATGCGCCCAGCGCTCTTGTGATGATGATGATGACGATGATGATGATGGTGATGATACTGATGATGATGATGATGATGATGATGATGATGTGGTGGTGGTGATGATGATGATGATGATAATGATGATGATGATGATGGTGGATGGCGGTGACGAACCGCTCCCTGACAGTGATGATAACGATGATGATGATGATGATGATGATGAAGGATGATAGTGACGACGAATCACCCCCTTGACGCTGTTGATAACGAAACTCAGCTTGATGACGAACAGCGCCCCTTGCCCTGATGATGATGACGCCCGTCACCCTGACGACCATGCACACGATGACTTAGTGCTGCTGCTGGCGATGATACCGACCAACCGTGATGCTGATGATGACGAGCATCAGCTCAATGACGTACAGCGCCCAGCGCTCTGATGATGATGGCGCCCAGCGCCCTGATGAAGGTGATGATGAGCCGCACCCTGCTGATGACGCTGATGGTGATGATGATGATGAGGATGATGATGATACGGCGACGTAATGATCACGAAAAAATGATGATGGCGCTAAACGAAGACACCGGTGATGACGGGCAGTCACTTCACTCGCACTTCGGGTTGCCCAAGGCTCTCTCCGCTGCACTCCACAGGCATCACCAGAGGCGACACCTCACAGGCTCTATGCCACGGGCAGAAACGCAGCAGCAATGGAGTATGGACGCGGAATTCCCAGGAAGCCCCCGGGAGTCAGTCTAGTTCTCCTATCAACTCGTGCTACGGTGTAGACCAGCACCTTTGGTCCCCGCGCGTGCGCAAAACGCATAATAGGCAGCCGCTGTAAGCTCAACACCCTGTCCAGTAACTCCCCTTAACCCCACCAGCGTCTCCATCACGCCCTCGCCCCGCCTTAGTTCGTTCGTATGGATACTTCAAAGCGAGAGCGATGCAAGCCGGGCACCCTCCCGCTTCGCCGCCTCACTCCGCTGCCGTGGTTGATGCCGGGGCGCAGCGCTCCCGGTAGAGCTGCGCCCCGCCCAGTTGTTTTGCCGAGGCGGCCTTTTCTTTTTTTTTTTTTTTTTTTTTGCATCCTATGTAATGGTTGTCTTCGGGAGAACAAGGTAGTGCAAGCTAACTACCCAATCTAAATATGAATCAACCAATTTGAAACCTGCTGAGCACTCGTGTAGGACGCGTACAGTTACCGTGATTGCTGTTAGAGCCTGTCGAAAAAATTACTATGAATGAATAATGACGATCAATATAATGATCATAGTCAGAATTATACGGGAATATCCACAGAGTGCGAGAAGAAACAAAGAGGGAAACAAATTTTATAATCATATAATCAAAGAGGGAAACAAATTTTATAAGAAGAGAAACAAAGAGGGAAACAAATTTTATAATCATATAATATTATACAAACTTTAGAATCATATAACAAAGGAAATGACTCTAGGGAGGACGCCAAATGATAGAACGCAAACGTAAGCGCGGAAAACGATGCTCTCAAATTGAATTGCGATGAAAGGACTAACATCGAGTACTTCCGCCTGCCATGAACAGCATCATCAGGGAACTTGCACATTAAAAGTATAAAATAAAATAACAATCGGGAGTCGGGACCACATTTCAGATCCCCATTCCCTTTTGAATGCCCTACCCTTGGTAGCCTATCCTCATGAGCTGTACGCTTAGAATACCCATCCTGCAAGGGGGCCGCAACTCGTTCAGCCTCTCGCCCATTCTCTGTGTGCATGTCTCCTCTTGAACCGCAAGCGTACAATACGCCCGCAAGGGCTTCAACCCCTCCTCTACCACACCTCCCACTTTGAAATTCTCTGTTAAACTTCGTGTGTGTGTGTGTGCGGGCGGGCGGGCGGCACACCCATCAGTCAGACTGAGTGTGTGTGTTGTTAAAACCCATTCAATGCCCAAATTCTCTCGTTCATTTTCCTCCACGAATCATAACAAACCAAATGCATATCAACAAAGTATAGAATCTTTAGACAGAGAATATAAGAGAAAATGCAGATGCAGGGTTGGCCACGTTTGTCTGGTTTAGCCCCAACGCCACCAAGTGCCCACACCCCCGTCTGCCGCCAAAGCAGCACACTTGCACATATACATATGTACATGTATTTAGCGGTAACTTCAGTAGAGTCACAAAACCGAGTCATAATTGCACTACGGGGCAAGGTACAGGTTGCAATTGCACTTGGGGCACCGTACCTGGCCAGACTTTCAAACAGAAAGCTGGGTTGTATATACATTGCCCGAACTGCAAATTGAAACCGTATCTCGGCCCAGAGTGCAATTATAACACGTTTTTGTAACTCTCTTCCCACGTAGTTTCCCCAACACATGTATTTGATCTATAAAAGGGTGGAGGGCAAGGAGCAACTTACCTAAGACAGAGGACTCCACCAACAAGAAAGCACCGACCCCACCCACCAACAAGAAAGCACCGACCCCATCCACCAACAAGAAAGCACCGACCCCATCCACCAACAAGAAAGCACCGACCCCATCCACCATAGGTCCGAAAAAATTTGGAGCCCTCCATGTCGGCCCGCAAAACCACAAAACAGCATAGCGCAAAAGGCTCGACTAACAAAAATGCACATTGCACAGCCCACACATGCCAATGGTCTTTTTTGATTTTTTGAGAGCCCTCTGCGCTGGCCTACAACGCCACCACAGAGCAAAAATACACTGCAGGACCTGTACGCAACACCAAGAGTGCGGCCATGAAACTCCCCCTGTCGCGCAACCTGCAGAATCGGATAATTTCCTGGCGCTACAGCAAGGCCACTGCGAGTACTATGCCAAATTCCACAAGATCTCCACGCGGCACCAGGACTCCAGGAGCGCTACTGCTGAAAACACCACCCTAGAAGGCTTAGAAGCTACCCCATTATTCCAGAGTGTGTGTGTGTGTGTGTGTGTGTGAGAGAGAGAGAGAGAGAGAGAGAGAGAGAGAGAGAGGATTGCAGCGGCAGTAGCGGCACGAAAAGAACTTGAATGCTGTTTCAGGCAGATGCACACTACCACACTCCATAACCATGATCATTGTGTTGCGTGTTTAGCCATGCTGGTTCGGCCTTCATTTGTGCTGCTGACCCATAAATGCATGCGTCACCCAGTTCAGCACGTTGACATCTGTTTTCTGCATACAATGAAGACGCTGAAGCCTGCAACAAGGTCAACTCAAGGAGTGCACAGCACCCCCACTCAGCCCACTATGACCCCCCGAGTTTCTTGAACTCACACCTGCTTTTCTTTGCCAACGCATGTTTTCTTTATTATCCCCTATGAAACTCTGATGCGACACGAACGTACTCCCCTCACGAATGAATTTAAGAGGAGAAAAGAAAACAAAAACACGCACAACAGGGGTGTTCACTGTTCAGACTGCTGCAGCAGAATCACTCTGCGAGCATAATTTGGGAAAAAATGTCCACACATCACAAGGGGACTACAACGGGTTGGGCAGCGCCGCAGCGCTACATTGGAGTCGCACCCAACCTTCAGAATAGGCAACAACTTTAGCAGTTCCCGAAACAGAGCCAAAAAGGCGACCCCCTAAAAATCTGCCAAGCGCCACCACTGCGGGTCATGACCGGTGCAGTTTTCAACCCCCACTAAACTTACACGTTTTGAAAGTCGCACCATGACACCGGCGCCACTTTTGTCTTTTCTTGCCTGTTTCAAATTTGAAGTGTGTCACAGCCACAGTTTCCCCCTTTCCTTTTTTTTTTTTTCTTTTTTTTTTTCTTGGGCAGCGTTTGACATACCGTACGTTTTTTTTTTTTTTTTTAAAAGGCTAATTCTTTAAGCCCAACCAATTCAATTACCTGTCAAATCTGGACAGGACGGCCTTTCAGGCCTTTTTTATTGTCATTATAGTATTACGGGGAACCCCGTAGCAGCCACATCCGTGCTCAAGCCTCCAACGAGGGAACATGCGGGAGCTGCACCCACCAGCAGGTGCGATACCTGCTACAGCAGGTGGGCGATACCGGCCAGGGGTCAGCCAGTAGCATCAGGACCGAGCTTCTTCGATGGGCCAGTCACTGTGCCTCCCCTCCGGTCCCCTCCCCCTGTCTCTTATACACATCTAGATGTGTATAAGAGACAGGAACATCAGCAGTCTCTGCTCAATGCCACTCGGGGGGACCAACGGCATATCTCTAGGTGGCGGGCGCCAAGCTTGCCCAGGAAGGTACATGAGGCCAATGGGGATTGAACCCAAGACCTCCTGAATGCCACTTGTGTGCCTTACCAACTGAGCTAGGCTGCTGGATCATACCGTACGTTTGACGTACTGTATTCACTTTTTCTTTTTCTTTTTTTTCTTTTTTTTTGTGGGAGGGTGGGGGGGGCAGCGTTTGACATACTGTACCTCAGTTTTGTATTTTGGATGCCTAGCAACAGGCCGCAGCTCCTCCTTCCCATGCGCGAACTGTTTGTTTAGGCAAATCGTAAAGCAACAGACGAACAAAAAAGACATCCAATCGTCAGGATTTCAATCACACAGAAGGAAAAAAAGAGCTGTGCAGAAGAAGGCATGAAAGGTAGAGAGAGGCAAGCAAGGGACATGTAGAACTTGAAAGCCAAGGGCAAGCATACAGATAAAGACAGATGCAGAGTCAGAGGCCCTCACCCCACTACAGAATACCCACCCTAGTACATGCATTTGACAATGTGCACTTGCTGGACCATATTCATTCAAAATGTGGAACTTGTCCGAATGCACCAGGTCAAGAAAGCGTCCAAATGCATGTAGAGTCTTTTGCAAACTGTTCCGTAGCGGAGCGAGGCTCGTACAACTGGCTGCGAAACACTGGTAGTTCAAACTGCCGGTACACCATGGCCTGAAGGGGCTGCCCTGCGTGCCAAGCTCTGCCGAACCACTAGTGGCAAATATTTTTTTCTGTAAGTCTTACGGGTGGCGCCATTTAGTCTAGCCATTGTGGTCCAGTAGGCCCGCGGCGTGAAATTTTTGGAGTACTAGGCGATGAAAGAAATTGCACAAGGCTGCGGCCGTGTACTGGCGGCTTGAGGGGGACCATACAGCTGAAGATAGATGCAGCATCATTCAGTCGAAGATATAGGTGCAGTGCTGCCAGTGCCCACTGTCCATTGTCCAAGTATTAAATACAGGATAAACGTATCACTGAGGGCATCTGTCGCAATTCCAAATTCGCTAATAATTTCTAAATGCAAAAGGCTACAGCTTAACCACCAGTACGTTTCCCAGCCAGCCAGTTTTTTCAGAGACCGCTGTGCATGCCGCTGCCACGACACTTCTGGGACACTTTCTTTTCTTCTTCTTCTTCTTCTTCTTCTACTCTTTTTCATTAGCTGTTTCTCTGGACATTCATCCAGATTTCCAGGCAAAAGGGCGTCCCGGTATGTCTCATGCGAGGCAGCAGCATCATGCCAGCATGCACAGCACGTCTCCGAAAAAAGGTGGCTGGGCAAAATGAATGCGCTGGCGGGTTAAGGGGAGTGCACACACACACTGTGATTTGAAGATTGTCTTATTGGAAGTTATTTTATTACTATGCATGACACTACTCGGGTGAAAAAGGAAAAGATGTTTTTCTGACCTTTCAACAAAATACTACACTAATACTACACATGAAATATCCAAAAAATTAATGTACTAGGTTTGGAAGTTCAAGTTTAAATCTCACAGATAACAGTCACATCTTTGCATGTCTTAGTGGCACGGCATGCGACCATAATTACCCTTCTGCGACCATAATTACCCTTCTGCGCCTATCTCTGCCCAAAACACTATAATAAGCACTCTTTGCATGTCTTAGTGGCACGGCATGCGACCATAATTACCCTTCTGCGCCTATCTCTGCCCAAAACACTATAATAAGCACTTAGGAAAGAAACATAAAAACTTATTAAGAAGGCAAAAAGATATTATAGGTGTTTTTTGGAACTTTCCAGGCGCCTTGGTACCCAACTTGACAATGTGACCAGTTGCATGCCCGAGTGCCTGGCCAGGCAGGGGCTCTGCACAGCCCCGGCACACACACACACACACGAACAAAAAAAAAGGAAGAAAAAAAAACAGGGAAAAAGAAGTTTGAAGGATCACGATGCAAAAAACTACCTTTGGCTGAGGGTCACATCAAAATTCCTCACTGACTTGACGACAAAAAGCAAAATAACAGAACAAGACTACCGCACCCTGCCAGCCCTTCTTTGGGCCCATCAAAACTAAATTATACGCAAACACACATTGGTCTGTTCATTTCATGGAGACTAGTAAGGGCCTCGCTCCACTACTCTCAATATGCACAAAAGACAAAAAATCATAGTGGTGCATCTTTCCATGTCCTAGTAGAAGGTTCTCTCATTTTGCACTTTTGAAAGAGTAGCGGAGCCAACGGAGCGAGGCCCTAAGAGTTCATCATACAATGTTTGACCTTATCCACTGAAATCTGGAATCTTAGGTTACACAAGCAGTTTTATAATTTTATTATTATAGTTTTAAAACAAATTAAATCCATAACTTCAAAAGAAAGGGGGGAAATGTAGTAGATTCCCCAGCCTGGGAACCTTAAACCACCAGTACTTGGCCCACTAAGAGTTCATACAATGTTTGACCTTGTCCACTGAAGTCTGGAATCTTAGGTTACACGAGCAGTTTCATAGTCTTATAACTTTTATTATTATATTTTTTAAACAAATTAAATCCATAACATTTTTAAAAAAGGGAAAATGTCGTAGATTCCCCAGCCAGGGCCAGCCTGGGAACCTTAAACCACCAGTACTTCATCGACCCTGCGCGCCAACTTCCGCCAAGTTTTACCGAAGCGCCGGGGTGCTTTTTCGTTTCCGTTTCGGCTGCGGCCTCCAGCCACCGTGGCCCGGCAGGCCAAAGCCCAAATGCCACGTGGCATTAATGGGGAAGCACCATAAGTACTCGGTAGTTTAAAGTAGACTTGTTTGCCCCCAAACTAAGTAGGTTGCATAATAATTATTCACCCCCAAAGAAAACCATGTTTCATTTGCCCTCAAGGAAAACCATGTTTCGCTCCTTTAAGCCCGGGCTCAGGCCCTTCAGACCTACGGTTATAAACAAAAAGGAAATGTAGTAGATTCAGATTCTGCGCACTGGGAACCTTAAATTAGGCTTGTTTGCCCCCAAACTGGGTAGGTCGCATAACAATTCCCCTACAGGCCTACCGACCCCTACGACCCCTCCAACTACAAATTCGCTATTCAAAATCAATGGTCCCCTCATTTCTTTGCACCCAAACTGCACAGGATGCATAGTAGTCCACCCTGAGGAAAAACTTGTATCGTTCTGTCACCCTTTCTCAGGCCCTACTATCTTACTGGGATGGTCACCCCCAAGGGGCCCAAAGACTCAAAGAGACTTAGTTTCATTCTTTCTTTCATTCTTTCACCCAGCCCTCAGGCCCTACCTGTCCCCCCCTACATGGCAGACAAAAAGAACGAACCACAGGGGACGGCTACAACGTGTTATTTAAGCTACTCGGCCACACCAACGGCCACGGAGTGAGGGGCCCAGGGGGGTGTTGGGAGGGCGGGGGGGGGATCTACTACTTTTCCGTGAATGAAATTCTGCTAGACAATGCAAATCAAGAGATTCCGAGACTAGACATAAGTCTAGAAGTGAAAGTCTCCCCGACTCGCATCTGGTTTGGATGACCAGAACAGGTACTACCGCAGTATGGGAAGTACTAATTAGGGACAGACTGTCAGACTGAGTTCAAATATCTGACTAATTTGCACTGGATAAACTGGGCGCAACGCTGTTATGTATTGTAATTCTACACTCCTGTAATTCTACACTCCGTCAAATTCGACGCCAATGACTCATCATTCAAGTTCCTACGAGGACCACTGACTAGGAGTGTGACACCTACTATTTGTTTTTCAAATTTTCAAGCAGGGAAAGGTACTGGTGGTTTAAACTGCCAGTACACCGCCGGCGGTCCGGCGCAGCCTTGCTGAAAATATTTCGTTGCACACTTCGAAAATTTTGCGGCCCGGGCCTACCAGACCACAATGGCTGGTGGTGCAAGCCAAAAAAAAAAAAAAAGTGCGCCACTGGCGGTTCAGCAAAGCTTCGCGCACAGTGCCACAGTGGAGCTTCTCCCGGCCCGGTTGTACTGGAGGTTTAAGGCCGTGTTTGGGAGTTCACACTTAGTCTAGTACTACCACACCGGTATGGGAAGTACTAATCAGGGACAGTTCGAATGTCTGACTAATTTCCACTGGATAAACTGGCCCGTAATCTGACCAATTATTGCATGGTAATCTGACTAATTACTGCACGGTGAAGAGCAGTGTGATTGATAAATACCTTGTCACTTTCATTATTCGCTCTGTGCTGAAAACTACTAGTTGACGTTTAGCATCAGTAGTTACCATAGTAACCATACCACTTAGCGGTTCCCTTTCGGCTGACTGATTAGTGGCAACCACAGAGTACTACCTTCTTCCCCGAATACAACTTCCCCCCCCCCCCCCGAAAAAAAACTCTGCAGATTCTAATAGGGTGGGTTATACGAGCATCCCGTCCTACTACCGTCTTCACCCGAATAGAACGCTCGGTAATTATGCCCGTATCTGGACTGAAAAATGCATCAAGTACGGCTATAATGACCGGGCGTTCTATTCGGGGGAAGACTGTAGGCCTGCCCCCCGAATACAACGTACGATCATTACAGCTGTATTTTTCGGGTTACCGTATCTTTAGGTCCAAATACAGCTATGATGACTTACAGCTGTATTTTTCGGGTTACCGTATCTTTAGGTCCAAATACAGCTATGATGACCGTACGTTGTATTCGGGGGAAGACGGTAGGAACGAGTACTAAGCACGACTATTGGCAGCTGCTTAACTTATAGCAGTATTAGTTAACGAGGAAATCTTATAGCAGTACTAGTTAACGAGGAAATATATCACCAACACAACTACCAAGTAAGAGCACCAGTGGTAGTACTGGTAACGACTGCCGATTGAGTACAATTATCAGTGAAATAGCAGGAATGAGTACCCCATTCTACCTCTACTGCAATGGACACTCGTCATGACTGCACCAAAAAGGTGGTGGGATAAAATCCATGCTGAGGGTGCGTTCTGTTCGTAGCACGGGGGGAAGAAGGGAGTGACGACTTACAAGCACTTGCTAGGGGAAGTTAGGGGGAGTAGCAATACTGGTTCCCGAGGACAAATAATGACGGGGCGTTCTGTTCAGGAGAAGACAGTACTGGTTCTAAGCTCTGTACTTAGTACTAGTTAGTAGCGACTTCACTCACGAGTACCCAGCACAATACTTGGCACTAGCTACTACTGTAGAAGCAGCAGCTCTACTTCCGTGTATTCAAACTTGGTATCGAGTACAAAGTATTGAGCATAGCAACTCTGCTAACGACTCAATTGAGTATTCAAACGCGGTACCG